AAGTATTAAGTTAAGCACTTAAGTATTGAGTAAAGTATTTCAGTTTTAAGTTAAGCATTTAAGTATTGAGTTAGGTATTTCAGTATTAAGTTAAGTATTTAAGTTGTAGGTTAAGCATTTAAGTATTAAGTGAAGTATTTCATTATTAAGTTAAGCATTTAAGTACTAAATTAAGTATTTCAGTATTAAGTTAAGCATTAAAGTATTAAATTAAGTATTTCAGTATTAAGTTAAGTATTTAAGTAGTAGGTTAAGCATTAAGTATTAAGTGAAGTATTTCAGTATTAAGTTGAGCATTTAAGTATTAACTTAAGAATTTCAGTATTAAGTTAAGCATTAAAGTATTAAGTTAAGTATTAAAGTAGTAGGTTAAGCAATAAGTATTAACTTAAAAATGTCAATATTAAGTTAAGCATTAAAGTATTAAGTTAAGTATTTAAGTTTTATGTTAAGTATTTAAGTATCGTTGAAGACTTCAGCAAACACTAGTCTGATACAGTTACATACAATGTCTGACACACACTTTTCCTTGATGTCAGTTGTTTTTCACAATCATGCAGTGTTGTTTTACGCCGCAGTAAGAAATAGTACAGCTATAAAACTGCGTCATTTCAATTATCGAATCTGGACCAAACAAACTGTCCTTAATGTAATGGATATCTTAATGATGTACAACCACGGTGTTAAACATTGGATAATCGAAATCATTATGATAAATCGCAAACATGCTGTTTACCACATTGTTTTGCAAAGCTATAATAAACTGGGTAATATTAGAATATAATGCAAGTGGCACTCCCACTTTTTTGTACGTAAGATTATATGCTTATAGTTATGTACCTATATAGAAAAAAACAACTGTTATTTTACATCTTTGCAGCATCAAACATCAGAATTGATTTTATGTTCCAACGGTACAGGTATTGGAGTGTCCACAATATAGAGATATGCACAAACTAGCTTTTACTTTTTAGGAACCAAATCAGCTGGACCTTATCGGAACAAGATTATCTGGAATCACCCGTATAAAGAAGCCATCAACAGCTTTATGAGATAATATGTTTCTATGGAAACACAGAGGCCTTTGGCGCAAAAATGAACTGAACATAATTATGTCCTTTAGCTACTAGGTCGTGGGTTCTATAACCAAATCTAACCCGATCAGTTTATTTAGTTTGTCTGCACTACGCCATTGATATAACTCGCTATACAGAGTGGTGTCCCTTTGTTGAAGTGAGACAGGTTTGAATCTCGGATTGTCTCGATTATGATCGTTGGCTTATGAACATGGCTTATGCTTGATGAGGTTTCCAATGTAGTTAACGCCCATGATATGAATCCAGTTGGTAGGTACTCCAGAGCTGAGCTGGCACACCGTGATATAACTAAATACTGTTTCAGTGGCGTGAAACCCACTTCAGTCTCTGACACTCTGACATCTGTTTTCGCGACCTGTCTTTGAGAAAACGGAATGTAGGTAGTCCGATTCGCTGGTCGCGTTATACCAACATATGTTAAAAAATAGTACTTGTAGTATATGTCCAACGCTCGGCATTAAGGGGATAAAACAAGGACTGGCCGATTCGGCGATAGTATAATGTGTCGTAGTGGGGTATCCATGTTAAACTGCAGCATGTAATTTTTGCGGGCTTGCACCATGAAATCGACATAAGGCCGGACTAGTAACAGTAGCCGCAGACACGCGCATGCACGTCGCTGTATGAATGAGTAATCTTGATCGCAACAGTAAAACCCATTTCATCTCACCTCACCTCAGCTCATTGAGCAAATGTACTGTTTTTTCTGACTTTATGAGCGATTTCTTTTCAAATAATATTGAAACTCTGAAGTCATACATCCCTGTAAGTAAAAGAATAAGTTTGTAATATATGACGTCCGATGCAATTTCCTATTTTGACTTGTACCATGTGTTCCCGTGTTTTTTCTGGCGACCAGTTGACTTGCCTTTGCATGTGTTTGTGACGAGTGTCAACGGTAGGGCAGGATATGCTCACCTTTTCGCGAACACCTGGTATCATCACTATTTGAAAGTAATTCATAAACGCACGTTAATAATAGAGTCGGAATTGTACAATGGATCTTTTAATGAGATGTTTTGTGGAAGACGTTTTGTCGCTGTTGTTTATTTATATATGTATGGTATCCAGGTCATAAAATATGTATCAAATCTATTGAGTATAATGGTGATGAAAAATATTATCCAAATGCAATTTTAATCTAATACGAAATAGATAGCTTTAATATACACGGTTGATTAAATACCATTCAGAAACATGTTATATCGCCAATTCTACCATGAATTTCGAAATCACTTGATTCTGATCGGTCAATCAGAGGTTATGAAATCACAATAAACTCTCTTTAATTGAAACATCCTATCTGACGGCTGCATCACCGCGGAAGCTAATATGATAGAATAGTACTTCTGTTTCAGTCATTGTCGTTAGGCATTTAAAAATGAGTATGTGTACAAATTTGCCGTTTATTTCCCATATACGACTGTGACGTCATATGGTTTACGTTATATTAATCGTGTAGAACAAAACCTTGCTTGCTTTGTTTTGTTTAGCGGTGCACGTCACGTCAGCTTACGGAGTTGTTGTGCTACATGCTTTCAGTGTCTGTCATTGTTCGAGTGAGGCGTGAAACAACTTCTTGCGCGAAAACAGCGCCATATTTTGTTAAAAGCCGTTGTCGTTGATTCCATAATTCAAATTGACAACCCACTAAAAACACTGGACTCAACCCATGCCGCTTCACTCAATATATTTGCTAACACGTTGTATTTCGTCAGAGTATAATGGAGATGCATGTGTTTGCAATGTAGAGCTAGGTTACCTGTAAATTAACCATGCAAAATTGAATCAGGAAAGGAACGCGCATTAAAAACAGTTAGTTTGGGTCCCGTTAATCCACAAACCCCGATTTCCGGGAGTTTACAGTTTGGGGGGATATTACTACGAGACTCTTGTTAGTCCGGGCAGTTCACTCTGAAAGGTAGCAAACGTGTGAGGTTTTACTACTAGTGTTATAGACATACGTACCATCAAATACATTGTCCCCTTAAGATTGTTGAAACAAAGCTTCGCGCGTAATGTATTTAAAATCTTTGCTGTCAATCACTGGTTAGTTACCACTTAGGCTGTGTTGTTGAATCGCTTGAGGCTACCCGTGTGTCCACGCGCTACCGCTTGGGATGACATTTGTGATTGGCAGATATTGACAAGTGCCCCCCACGGAGAATAGTGTTCCAGCAGTGAGTGTGAGACTTGATGCTGAGCTGATTGATGCCCTTATATTGATGAAGACTGATAATTAGTTTTGAAAATGGTTCGTTCTTAAATATTCCTTTGAGACACAGTGCATAGTTATGCTAATATAATTAGTAAACAGCGAGTTGGAAGAGAGTCCTGACAATTTCGTTATAGTTGAACGATCAATATATTAATATAGATCAATAGTAAATTGTGAGTAATGTATATTTTGGCATTGGTTATAAGTATACATGTTTAGAACTGACATGAATATATATTTGTGTTATATCATGAAATCACGTTTTAATAATATTGCTTCATAACAAGGTAAAGAGAGATTTACTTTCCGAGTGCACTTTCAGATGCTAGTAATATTTTCATTTTAACATGCGATGTTTAGGTGTATTTTTACATTTTTGATCACAAGTAAATATGTATATTCTTTAGTTGTAGAATGTGTTTGATAAGATTTGTAAAAACCGCTGTCGCCGCCAATGCTAGCACATTATTTCGAAAGATAGATATTAATAAAATTCTTCTTTTAGCACAGTCTCACAGAATATTGTCATATACTGTAAACTATGTTTATGACGAACACGCTTATAACGAACTGACGGATAAAATAAACTGTTTTTTTTGGTCCGGTCCATTTACTGTATATATCCTTCTAACGAACTACGGTTATAGCGAACTAAACTAGTGGTCCCGTTGAGTTCGTTATAACCGTAGTTTACTGTATTTGAGCCAGTGTGTTAGCTTGGTTTAACACCACTTTGAACAGTGTTCCAGTTATATCACGGCGTGTCAGCTTGGTGTGGGAGGAAAGCCCGTAGTGATGCAGGTCTCAGACGTTTACCACTTTGTGAAACCCACGAGCTGGGGTATTGTTATGGGGCTGACAAACCCAGAAACATGGTCAGGGCGAGCCCGCCACTAAATAAGGAGCGCCACGTCTTCGAAAACGTGTTATGATGTTAATGTTGTCATGGTGAAGTCAGAAACAAACCCTGGGTTATCCCTTTGGTATTGCGTTTTACCAATTGACGCTGAATTACGGTAAACTACTTTAAAAACGAACACGCTTACAACGAACAGACAGATATGACGAACTTTTTTGTCCTGTCCATATGCTGCAGATATGCTTATAACGAACTACGGTTATAACGAACTAATTTAGTGGTCCCTTTGAATTCCTTATAACCATAGTTTACTGTATTGTATTGTTGCATGTTCACGCGTCGTAGTCGGTGATGCATGCACGTAAGTAAAGATTATCAGGCTATCTATTAGATTAATTCCCTTGCCTCGGGAAGATGTCATTTAGTGAAACTAAGTATTAATTGTCAATGAAAGAGGATAACCATAACAGATTCCACTTGGCGTTAAGGGAAATATTGTGGTGAAAATTATATGAATGGGCCACTGAAAATCAGTGATGACAGGGTATTCTTAAAATGGGTAAACATGAAACCCCGTTTATCCGGCATGCACCGTTCTCAGTGAAATCTTACACATTAACTTATATACGGTTTAACGAATCATTACGACGCTGTTGTATGATTTGTATTAACGTAAACGGTTCTTACTGTATTTTTCCAGAGAGCGAATTGTCCAGGCGTCCGGAGTCACGAGGTTTCATTGTATGTAGTTTCATAGCATCTGTGTGCATACGACACTTGGACTGTGAGGTCAAAAGTCATAGAAATAACGAAAACAATATTACAAAAGAGTGTTTTTATTAGAAAATGTGGGTGTGGGACAACTGTACACATGAACCCTTGCGGGAATCGTGAGGCTTATTATGAAGTCATGCGTTCAAATATTACACGAGAAAGTATAAAAATAGGAATATCATGCTTGTGCATTCAGAAGTCTTACTATATACACATATATACATAACTAAGCTTAAACTAGAGCATTTAACATGTCATAAAAGTACATATATTGTCATTCAACAAGACACTCGTATATAACATTGCTTGTCAGTTATTCTGGCTCAGAGATTCGACAGTCTTCACTCGCAGTTGCCAACAACACAGTATTGTATATGGATTGATAAAGGAATACAACTGCAGGCTCCAAAAGTATCGGTCAATAAGCTTGCAGACACTTCATTGTACAATGGTCATACAACTACAGTAAGAATTTTAACGAAAGCTTATTTATGACATCATGAGTTTCTAACAATTAGAAAAAGGACATTTCCAAAAGTGCTTTTTGAGACAAATAAAAAATTGTAACAGTTTGTTGAAAATATCCAAACCGATGAACGTCTAATTATATAATTTCAACAAGAGCTACTAATAAGGGTGCACTTAACAAATTGGAAAGTATGTAATGAATTAGTGTAAAAGGATGTCAATAACAGTGTTACTATGTCCAAAGGGAGGGGGAAGCTGTCAACATATAGCTACCAGAATGTCTCTAATAAGAGCAAGAGTTTGCATATGGATACAATGTATAACATTAAAACTACAACAAGTGTACATCAAATGATTTAAAGTGGACAACATATTCCTTAATAATGCACATAATATTATGTTCTTAAAACATGGCATACTGACACAGTTATTTGTATATATCTAAATGATACTATCACTTTTTTTTAAACATATTGAAATATTATTTTACAACAATCAAATTCAAAGATTCAAACAATAAAACATTTACTCACGTGCTTTCCTGAATAGAATAAAGAAATCTATTTTAAAATGAAGCATTTAATTACTGATATCACAATGTGCACTGTGGTCATTAGCTCGCCTGCCCAGTAGTTGCAGTGTGAGAGATTCGGCCGTTGTCATGGTAATTTCAAACAATCCATTTTTGAAGGTTCCAGCTGCAGCTGTTTGTTTTCCACACAATGAGCTTTCCTACACAATAGTTTGTGTCTTTCTAACGTTATCCGGTCCTGTATATGTAAACTGAAACACGAAAAATATTTATAATTAAACCTAATTAACGAATTCGGCTGCAATAGTCTACGTTTTTGCCCCAAATTGCTCTATTCTTTATCATGTATATACAATATAATGTATGCGTTACAATATACATACAATACATTTATCTCCGATTTCCCAACACTTTATGAACATATATTATACATTTTTTGAACACGAGGAATTATTCTAAATCATAATTTGTCTTACAAATTTTTAATTAAAATACTTCGTTCAGTAATACTCAAAAGTATCAAAGGAGCAGAATTCAACAGATTAAGCAATATACATGACGTTCCCCCTAAATTATAGCAAAATCAGTTAATTTACTTTTAGGTGATTCGGAGATCTTCGATATGATTCATAAATACAAAGCAAAAGATGAAAATAAGTGAAAACATTGCAGATTTATTCCAGTAGAAGCAAGGGGGAAAACTCCTGTCACCCTTAGCATCCTCTGGTCCTACGTACATGAAATAATATAGATGGCGCTGTTGACACAATAGCTTGGAAATACATAGATTCAGCACCAGCCTTTCATCACCCATTCATATACTTTATGATGGCCGTAGATCCACTACCACAGATAATTTGCAAATAGACAACTATGAAATGAGTAATAACGTGGCGAAATGGATGTCAGCGTGGCGTTGCAATCAGATGAAATTGGAACAAGCTATTAAAGATGGGTGCACAACCGCCAACACAGGCCACACGTCATTTGCTCGTGTTATACATCATTTGCTTGTCTAGTATATGCATACATATATGTACTATTACAGGACCTACTGTACACATTTTGTACCTTTAACGCATATATTATACGCAATTCGTAGTCAGTACTTATATTGCTTGAAAAAGAGGAACCCAGTTTCGTTTTATGTCTGGACATAATTTTGTAACGACCCCTAGAGACAGAGCGCTCTTTTGGTAGAATATTCCAGCCGAGTGAATGTTACAGCATGATCTTTCTTGATAATGGATAATTTCTATTAAAATCCAGAGTTATGGGGCCAAGCCATGTTCTGTGGGCCCTCTGGGAGCTGTTTTCAAGCTCAGAGCAGTAATTGTAAAGGCGGGATCGAGGCGGCAGGAGTCAAGGGAATACCAAATGCTTGCACACGCGCCGTGAAATCGATACTAATCTTTCAATAAATTTATTCTTAGTCGCGTTGTTAATGATTGGTTTTAAATGGCACTTTCCCAGTATGACCTGTGCATGCTTTGAAGGAACTTAGCTTTGAGGAAGAATATCAAACCTACAAAGCAGCAATCACTGGAAATGGTCCTTTTTTATGAGATTATTTGCTTTTCTGCCCGCCACAATAAACTGGATGACATGTCATTTGCTGAACTATCCCTTGTCGTTCATGCTCTCACTTTCCATCATAATGGTCAACTTGATAAGAGTAGGTCCTCTATGATCGCTCTAAAAGCTCAACCAATTACATGTTCTTATACCTTTGAAAGCGATATTCAACTACCTGGTCGTTTGGGTAAGGTTAATGTGTTAAAAGCACGTTAATCGCATTGAGATGCTTATCGCACGCGGTTTCTTTCATGTTGGCTAATTTACTTGTGGGATTCTCATCAAAAATCGCCGAAAGTAATCATGTTTATTGCCCGGATCCCAAAGCACAAATGGAATCATATGGAATTGAATACGAGGGTAATACCACTTGACATACAGAAAATATAGATAATAGGAAATCTCTGAATTGGGAATTTTTGGCATAAATACAGAGTTGTGGTCGAGTTAATGTTGGGTTTAAAGTGGAATTACAGAACAGATTTTCTTCGGTTCCATTTACCAAATTGTTGCTACATACTCAATCGAAAATGTCTACTTCAATTCAAATTTGCATCGCAAAGTGCAAGAACCATGGTTACCATTGTCGCTGGTAAACGAATCAGTCCATTATGGCCTTAAACCGAAACAGTTTTGAGGATCACGATATGTCGAGCATGTTAGCATTTACGTCATACTAACTGCCAAAGTGCCTTCACTCAGATTAGGAGTGTGTCATCTGCATTAAATCACGTTTCCGCCAAGTGAGTGAGATTTGTTTTATGCAATTATTATGTTATGCAATACTGAAGCTTTATTAAGTCCGTCTGTGAATACTCGAGTTTTGACCAGGGACATTTGTGATTTAAAGCATGAGTTTGGGGTACCACCGGTGGGGCAGGATACGCTCACCTTTCCGTGAACACCTGATATCATCACTATGTGATGGTGATTCGTGAACACATGATCAGGATATAGTCGGAATCGTAAATCGACTTTGCTTCTAGCAGAGATTTCTTATGAATATGGAAAGGGTTTTGTCGCTTGTGTTTACAGTGTCACTGAAACAATCTATCTTTATCCACTCCTGGACACAAATGACTAACAGTGGGATAAAAGACTCTGTACCTAACTTCTTTGATAGGCATTTAGAAGTTGGAGTACTAAGTAAGGATCAGAACTTATGGATGAACAACTTCTTTATTACAATTAAGATCGACGTTTCCGTGTAGGTTCTAACACCGTTATCAAGCAAGTGATATACAGAGTGTGATTGACAAGTATACTTGTCAACCATACTCCGTATATCACTTGCTTGATAACGTAGTTATACTCTGTACATGTTTATCGTGACTTGTTCCTGCTGCAGTATACTATTGTCGTCATACAGCTACAAATTATAACCAAATAGTAATACATAAAATAATTTACGGGTTCTCATAAAGCTTGATGAAAAAATATGAAGTATAGACTTGATTGTGGGTTAGGGAAATAAACCAAGAAATGAAATATCCTTTCTATATAAACATTAACTGAACATGTGAAACGTACAGTTTTGAAGTACAATCGCTCTATTTTTGACAGATATTTCTTATGAATATGGAAAGGGTTTTGTCGCTTTTATTTACAATCAACGCCATCGCGTTACGATAACATGCAAGGAGCAAAGTTTGTATGTTTATTTGTGTGTATAACGTTGCACTCAACAATATTCCAGATATATGACGGCGGTCTGTAAATAATTGAGTCTGGACCAGACAATCCAGTGATTGACATCATGAGCTTCGATTCACGCAATTGAGACACGATGACAAGCATAAACCAAGTCAGCGAGCCTGACCACCCGATCCCGTTAGTCGCCTCTTACGACAAGCATGGGTTGTTGAAGACCTTTTCTGACTCGGATCTTCACGGGACCCAAGGAGTAAAGACACAGATCAAATGAACACTCTTTAACTCGGCTCTCATGTCGACTTGTCGCGCAGCACACCCCGACTGGTAGATAACGTGGTTTCGTCAAAGTCATTTCTGTTAATCGGGTGTAACTCGAGGTGAAACAAAGTCGAAGATAAAGAACAGTCGGATATCACGAATCTTGTTTGATGCAGGAATCACAATCAACGATATTATGATTGAGTTCAGCATCTCCGGAGTAGGCTGCATAGTCGCACTTTGTAGTGAGTGAGTGAGGGGGATTTTAAGCCGCTTTCAACATTCTAGCAATATTACGGCGGGACCCCGGAAATAATCTTCACACGTTGTACCTTTAGGCGCTTCAACCTCGATGTTACCTCAACACCACTACGCTTTCCAAAGCTGGGTATTTGTTTAACCTGTCTAATGGTATCGTCGTGTAATGTATAAGGTATCCGTGAAAATCCAGGTTAGAATTTGAGTTCCATGTTTGTCGTGAGAGACGACTAACAGGATCGGGTGGTCAGGCTCGCAGACATGGTTGATGCATGTCATCGTATCCCAATTGCGTAGATCAGTGCTCATGACCACTGTGTTACCTGGTCCAGACTTAATTATTTACGTCATACAGCCGTCATACAGCTTGAATATTGCTGAGTTCGGCATTAAACAACAAAAAACCCAAAATGTTTCATGCTAAGACGGTCGTTAGTTTTACGCCGCTTTGAACATTATTTCATTCACGTCACGGCGTGTCAGCTTGATGAGGGAGTAAAGCGTTGCAGAACCCACTGAGAACCCAGAAATAGATTAGAATGTTGGCCTGTCTATGGTATTGCCGTTAAATGTATACAGGGGAAGTATTGTAGACTGCACGTGTGTGCTTCTATTGGGTTGGCGACTCACCGTCCCGCCCGTCGATCTCAGCGGGGTCCTAACGCCAACTGATTCGTCATCCGAATGGCCGCTGATTGACAACCGAAACTTGGAACGAGCCTCCGATCCGAATGAGACCTGGTAACAAAGGAAAGACTATGTAATGACTGTGAATTAACTGTGACAATGTTAGAGTCAAGGCTATCGCATTTTGGACTTCAATTATACAGCTCTTCAACAGAGAACTAACATAGGCATTTTCATTATGAAATAATCATATGTATGTATATAAATGTAAGTTTCATAAGTCTTGTGATATAAGTAGTGTAGGGCTATACGTCTTGTAGTGATATACATCCTATAACCATGAAAGTCTTGTAGTGATTTACGTCTTGTAGTGATACAGGTCTTGTGGTAATATGTCTTATGGTGATAAAAGTTTTATGATGATGAAAGTCTTCTAGTATAAGTATAAGTCTTTTAATGATCGACCGTCGGCATTATGGGTTAGAATATTATAGGTCCCCAGAACTCTTTCTCAGTCGTCAGGGCAACTGAATGGATCGGCTGGTCAGGGTTGCCCATTGTGGATCGTACCCCAACGTCTAGGGACGTTGCTTATAATATCAATCACTGGTTTATCAGGTCCAGATTCGATTAAAGGTCAAATAGCTGGTATTTTGCTGAGTATGGAGTTAAACATCAAACAAAGCTTGTCTTTCGCGATGTCTCAAATGGGGACTGGATGCTTGTAAGATGTGACTTTGTGTGTGTGTGTATCATGTGCCCCGACAACGTTGACGATCAACTATTGATATGCTTGCTCAAACTTAGAATAGGTTATAAGACAAAATGCCACCTGCTCACACAAGCCACGTGTAAAATCCACCTTCCAAACCTCGTTGGAGGTAATATTATCCACAATGAAGTCTCGAAACAGTAATGAATGAGTAATGATTTCAACTTGAATCAGCGTTCAGTGTTTCATACTAAATGGATGCTGGTATTTGTAGTTTGTGATCATCATTATTATTAATCCTTACCAATTCAACGAATACGAAAGGTTTGTCACTGTAACCATGTCATTAGCAGATATTATTCTCACACTCCGATTATCATGATAGTATAGGGGCGAAGCTGTAAGCTTTATATGTTCATTTAAAGTTTATAAAGAGAGAATATTTCATTTCTTGGTTTACACCCCTTGCCTAAAATAAAGTCAGTACTTCATATTTGATGATCTGATGATCTGATAGTTGGTCATCCAGCTTTATGAGAACCCGTATATATTATTTCATGTATTACTATTTGGTTATGATTTGCAGCTGCATGGCGACAATAGTATACTGCAGCTGGAACATATCACTATAAACATGTACAGAGTTCTTTATCCTACTGCTGGTCAATTGTGTCCAGTAGTGAATAGAAATAGATAATTTCAGTGATACTTTAAATTAAAGCGACAAAACCCTTACTATATTCATACGAAATCTCTGCTTAAAGCAGAGTCGATTGCACAATTCCGACTATATCCTGAGTATGTGTTTATGAATCACATAGTGATTACAGCAGGTGTTCGCGAAAAGGTGAACAGGCCACAGGCCTATACTTGCTGTAGAGAATACAGAAGCGGGTGTAGAGTTTACACTGATGACTTTCTTAATCACACATGCATGATGAAACAATAAAAGGGTACAAGTTATATTGTTGCTTGTATGTGACATTAATGAAGTAAATTTATCTTTTTGGGGATGTAAACACTAATTCCGTTCCTTATATTGTCCTTAATTCATTATACTTATAATAACAGCAAGGAATTTAATCTTCAACCTCGTTTAAAGAACAATGAGTACATGAACTTAAACCGATATGTATATTTATGTGTCTGTTAACTCCATTGGTGTGTGCACTCTACATCTGAAGTGCGCCAAATATATTCTACATATCCTTATATTGATGATATATGATATAAAATGATGACTGATTTTAGCATTATGCAACAATTGTAATTGTTTTACACCTTTGGGATGAGAAGGGTATTATTTTCTTTTCATGAATGATACAATAACGTATAGAGCGAAATATATTGAACAAAATTATTTTTTTCTGATTTAAAAACATTATAACATTTTTATAAGAATTTACATGCCAAAATGGTTAAACAGGTAAATATTTTAAAGCACTGGGACCACTTAAGCTGGTAGGGGGATGCATTCCATTTTCATCGGTCACGTTTTTGTAAGAAGATGTTCACAACTCTCTTGCCAAAGACACCGATACTGACGATCATACGGATGCCATGATCATCAGACGGGGACCTTTGGTCCTGGCACAGAGAATACAAATGTTTGAAATACTAAATTGAGAAATACTTACGTTTTGCTTTTTTGAATCCACTTTTGTCTTGTATAAGAACTCAAATATGGCCGATAGTACAGACAGACCCAAGCCGACAATGAGTATGTAGAAGATCCCAGCAACTTTGGTCAGTGTCAAGGCGTTGTCTTTACTGTCCTTTTTGTCACAACAGAAAAAGAGAACAATATTAAAACTTTCTTGCTGATCCGGGGTATTATATCGTCATACAGTAATGATAAATATCCCTTGTCCCATTAGCAAATTGAATCATATCTTTGTTTCGTTCACATAAAGTGTGTAATTTCTCTTGAATATCATTTAAAAATAACATTAAATGATGTGTCATTCAGAATTTGCAAAATAACTATTTCATTTATTTCGTTGAGTTCATGTCCATGGAGAGATGGTATGTGAAATACACTTCTTCAAATATATCACATTGCCTGAACTATGTCATGGGCAGACGCTTTGTACATGTTTGGGGAGCTCGATCGAAGATAACAAGATACCTTTCAGCTGTGAAAAGATTGATTGTAACTTCAGAAGGAAGGACTCTCTTTCGATGGTAACATTCATCCTATTGTGATCAAATTGACATTGGCGCTTTGAAGAGGCGATGCCATTGATGAATTATCTCCCTTTGATGTGGCATGATTCCTCCCAAGGTAAATATTTTATCACCTGCTTTATTATATTTGAAACCCATTCGTTAGACGTTAATAAATAAACAGCATTATTCCCCTATACATTTAAATTGTGTGTTTGAAGGAGCATTGATCTTTAAACCTGAGCTGAATAAATCAGTTTTGTTTAGCTTTATCACAGTTAATTTTGATGGAGTACGTCAGTGAATCGTTTCCTGTTGTATTGTGAATGCAATACATTTTCATATAAAGGTTACAAAGTGCACGTAAAATGTACAAGAAGAAATATTTATGAAGAAGAGACATATATTAAAGTGCACGATATCGATATTCGTTGCAAAAAGCTTTCTTTATGCAAAAATGGAAAAAATGGAAGAGTTCGAGGCAAGCCAAACCTTCAAGATACTTTCGTATAGGCATACTGACATTACCAATATGTAGCTGGTTACTGAGACGTATAGAGGTAAAGCTCCGCTGGCACGGTGCATTTTCGTATAATGTTTTTAAATACAGAAAAGATTCAAGTTGGCGAAAGCAAGCATAATTAGTGTTCACAGTAGACATAGGAGGATGTGCTGATAAAATTACTGGAATAAAGTCTTACCAATATGAGAGTACAAACCTTATAGAAAGCCCATGTTCATTGAAGGACACACCCTTCAGTCTCCATGCATTGCAGCCAACAACTTATAAAGCAGATCTATCACAGACATACCTCTCAACGTATATCTATTTGACTGTACCATCTCAGGGGACCACTACTGTAGGCTATCGTTTTCCGCACAAGCATCTGCTTAGTATCCAAATGCATGATATGTTTTCAAATCATTATCCTAATGTGTGTCCTTTGAATAAATGATCATAATTACATATAAGGAAGTTGAATCCTGAATTACATATACTTTTTATTGATCAAGGTCCTAAGTGAAATGACCTTTAAAATTTAAAAGGAAGATGTACTCATTTTGTCTTCTAGATATATTCTTGGTCATAAAGAATATGGTCATTCTATTATAGACATATGAGGTTGCTGTGGTCACTTGGGTCTGTTGGACTGTCCTTGGCGACACGGCGAGGTTTGAGTGAGTGAGTAAGCTGGGATTGACGTCGCTTTGAACAGTATTCTGCGAGGTATGAGAGGTGAGTCTGTAACTGGTGATGAAGACAGTGAGAGGCAAGAAAAAATGATCACCTTACTCACAGGCGACGCCTTCTCGGATGGGCACTCACTTCTGGCATACCACCAATGTTTCTTGATTTCGTCCAATTTACTCTGTTCGCGCAGTTCCAATATTGCCAGTGTTAGGACATCCCTGGGACAGATAATAGGCTATGTGTTACATGTGACAGTGACTAGAATAGCGTTATTTAAGCCAACATAATGTGGGAGGAAACCCGAAGGGATGCAGGTCTTAGGCGGTTACAACATTGATGAAACCTAAAAGCACGGGTATGGTGCCGACTGACAAACCTAGAAACATAATAGTGGTGAACCGGGATTCGAACCCACGATCATTCTTTTTTGGATGCCCAAGGGACGCAACTCTGTACACCGGCGCCTTTGTTGACTTGACCATCCGCAAGGTAAAGTGTTAATTTCTCACAGATAATAATATGGTGTTATATTTGACAGAGTATAGGATAGTGTTATATGTGACTGATGATAGGAAAGTGTTATGTATGACAGTGAATAGGATAGTGGTATTTGTTTATGACAGCAATTAGAATAGTGTTATATGTAAAAGAGAATAGGACAGTTTTATATGTCACAAAGAATAGGACAGTGTTTTATGTGACAGATGACAGGACAGTGGTTTATGTAACAGAAAAAGGATAGCGTTATATGTAACAGAAAAAAAGGATAGTGTTATATGTGACAGATGACAGGATAGTGTTACATGTGACAGAGAATAGGATAGTGTTATACGTGACAGCGAATAGGAGAGTGTTAAACGTGACAGAAAATAGGATAGACTTATATGTGAGAGATGATAGGATACGTGTATATGTAACAGAAAATAGGATTGAGTCATATACGACAGATGACAGGGTGGTGTTAAATATGACAGTGAGGAGAATAGTGTGACATGTGACTGAAAATAGGGTGACGTGACAGTTAAGAGGGGATAGTGGTATATGTGACAGATACACAAGATTGCGTTACATGTGCCAGATGATAGGGTGCGTTATAAACGTGTGAATGAAGTATGTTACTCATTAAAACACATATTACACATGTGGCAAAGGATGGGATATGCCCCTCATATTTGCAGATCAGAACATTATTATATAATGTATGTAAGCGCGCATATAGTAACATTCCCGGAGAATATTACATTTATAACTAAGGATCAAATCTAAACTATTTTACAGTTCTTTGGTGATATTGTCTATGAGAAGTACACGCAGGACAAAAGGGTGACACGAAAACAACGGATGATAACAGACATGATATATATTTGCTTCATGAATAGCATGATCCGTATTCATCCTAGTAAGTGAGTACACTTAACAATTTCATAAATGTTGGAGACAGGTGCTTTGTCAGCACAGAGCACCACATCGCCAATAAGTGAACAGTATGCAGCAGGCCATGATGCCTGACATTGTTGGTGTCCAATGAGGGGGAACTGGTGGCCCAGTTGTCTCAGGCACCGCGATTCGCTGTGCAGAGTTGCGTCCCTTGGGCGCGCCAGAAACCTATGATTGTGGGTTCGAATCCCGGTTTGCCCCGATTATGTTTCTAGGTTTGTCAGCACCATACCCATGCTCGTGGGTTTCACCGAAGTGGTAAACGCCTGAGACCTGCATCACTTCGGGCTTTCCTCCCACATTAAGCTGACACGCCACAATATGACTGGAATACTGTTAAAAGAGTTTTTAAACCAAATTCCCTCACTGGTGTCCAGTGATGTACATACCGATCTACATATACTTCACCTTTACAAATTCAACATCCCATCCAACAAAGCCACTATTGTAAGATAAACCATCCATAGGTCAGTCTAACCTTGAGTGACATTTAATCCCATTTAATGTGATGGCCATCAGAACATTCGTGATGGCGTCTTTTATTATCGTATACCGTCACTTGCACTATTGCCAGACGATAATGACTGCAAGGTGTTTTTATTGGCGGTCAAGTGTGGCCAGCCGTCTCAGGTGTCGCAATTCGCTGTGCAATTTTGCGTCCCTAGGCGTGCCAGAAACCTATGATCGTGTGTTCGAATCCAAGATCCGCACTGACTATGTTTCTAGGTTTGTCAGCACCAAACCCTGCTCCTAGGTTTAATCAAAGTGGTAAAGTTAATCACTAAAATCTGCATCACTTCGGGCGTCCCTCCCATATCAAGCTGACACACCGTGATGTAACTGCAATATTGTTCAAGCGGCGTTTAACCAATTCACTCGCTCTAAGGTTAGATCGTTGAAATTAATCATACCTGCTGACATTATATAAACCTTTAATATCTATAACAATTATGTATTAATTGTAAATGCATGCAAGCCATCTTTCAATTATCGCAGTGGAGTAGTTTGCAAAGGATATAACAGACCTTCATGTACACATAATGTATTATCATAAGTAATTGTTACAAACTATATATCCTTGATATGCATGCATTGATTGTGAGTAATTGGTATTGTTTAAAAGGTACACACCATTCTAAATATATTTAAAGAACAGATCAATTTTCCCTTGTGGTTTATCCCAAATCAGAAAACTATTTTTGCGAATCGATTCATTGGTTTTACATGTATGTCATTACAAGTCGAGCTTCTGCAAATACTCCATAAATATGCGAAATATATATAGACGTATAGAATTTCTCCTTCCATTCATATCAATCAACTGTTGTTTTTTCAAATATACATGGATGGACGTTTTGTCCATGGCGCCGCCAATAGGTATACAGAGTTGCGCCCCTTGGTCGTGTCATGATCAGCTGAACGCGGGTTCCCATTCCAGATTTAGCCCGATTATCATCCCTACTTTGTCAGCACTGCGCGATCATCAAAGTGGTCCTACTTCGAGTATTATTTGACATGCCGTGATATAACTAAAATACGGAAACCGTGAACGCGTTGAGGGAACTCCAAAAGTTCTCAGATCTAAGGTATTATTTGACATAAATACGTCACCATGGAATCCCCTCTCTGCACAATACATTGGCTTTATAGTTAACACTATGGACCTAAGGAAGAAAACACCAGTGTCGCTATGAATTAATAAGATAATGTAACCCTAATTTCGGGATTGAGCAGCGTTTGGAGTGAACGGTCGATGGTTACCTTTAAGGGGTGTTAATCCAACCCACTCACCCTCTGACTCACCTAATATCTGAACCCATTGGTGTAGCAATACCGTATCCCTTGGAGTCGAGGTTGGTGCCGACTTGCATGGTGTCACATGGTCGCCGTTGGTTATGGTAGTCGTTAGTTGTGGATTCAATGAGGAAAGCGTATTTGCCGTTCTCTTTCCGCACTTTTGCTATTCCCTCGCTATTCTTACTAACAAACACATCCGGCTGGGAGGTCATGAAGGACATCATACGCTGGTATAAGGAGACTGTGGAACCCTGAAATGAGTGAATGAGTTTTAACCGTATTTCTGTTCTGCTGCGGCGTATTAGCTTGATGTGGTAGAAAAGCCGAAAGAGATGCAGATCTCAGACGTTCATCACTTTTAGTGAAACCTACGGACACGGGTTTGGTGCTGACAAACCTAGAAACATAATCAGGTGAAACGGAATTCGAACCCACGATCATAGGTTTCTGGCACCCGCTAAGAGATGCAACTTTGCGGCGAATTGCGGCAGTTGACGCGACTGGACCACTCGTGCCCCAAGCTAGAAATGACATTCCCTTCAGTACAACAAAACGTCACTGGATTTGAGGTATATATGCTGAATCTCAAAGAAACAAGTAATTCAAACAAAAATAAGGCAGACATTGCGAAAAAAGGTGTTCGCAAAACGAATGAGTATGTCCAGTCTCACCAGAAGCACTCGTACTTGAAGGTCAATATTACAACTGAGATGACCAAGGAAACATTTAGGCGACCGACCGCGTCCACGAACAGCGCTCTCTGAAGCACTTAGACAATGTGACATTTACGAGTGTGGCAAGTCTCTGAACTGTATTGGCAGGTGTAGCCTTTCATCGGGAAAAACACTACTACAAAAATGTCAACGGAGATGACAGCTCGATCCCACAAGACATAAGAGAAAGTACAAAACACTGTTTAACGTGCGCTTGTATCTATTATAATTAATCAGTGTAATTGTTGTAAATTCTTTTAAGATTTCTGTTACGAAAGAGAATTATGTACATAAAAAAGATCATTAATGCCCAAGAAGCAATAAAAGGGGTGACTCGTGAATATATTTTTATCTGGATTTATCTGGTAATTGTTCTCAAAGTGTACAGCACCAAACGTCTGGGTGACTCTTTTATGATCATGTAACAGTATTTATTTATTGTTGCATAGATCAATTGTGCTGATAATGATGACAAGTTCACATCTGAATCAGTCGCTATATAAGTGCAATAATCATGGATCCCCGGCCGAGTCATACAAAAGAAGTGAAAAGATGGTACTTGTTGTTACCCTGTCTGGCGCTCAGCATTAAGGGGCTAAAACAATGACTGGTCGGCTCGGAGTCAGTATACTCTGTCTGAGTGAGGTATTCATGTTAAACTGCGGCATGGTATCTCAGTGTGCTAGCACTATAATTTGGCATCAGTCCGGGCTAGTACAACCACACACACTTACACACACACACACACGTGCATTCACATCGCTATATAAGTGCAATAATCATAGACGCGACGTTAAACCCCATTTAACCTAACCTAACCTCACATCTGAATCCCATTTTGTAGATATAGCAGATTAAGAGTGGACGCGGAATTGCAATATGAAAGCACCATTGGTATAAATAATTATAACTGAAATGTATCTACAAAAGGGACATTTCATACAAATAACAAAGCAACAGGGCATGTTTAATTTCTTTGACGGATACGACTGGGCATTCCTTAATTTCAGCTTTGTCCATTGGTCATTATCTCTGGCAATCCAGAGACGAGAAAACATGAGAATCATTAAAATTGATTTGATACAAGAACATGTTAAAAGAAATACTACATTTACTAAATTCGCAAATCACTCGATGTAATTCCTCGCTTCTCATCAGAGATAGAATGATACTCGATACATGTAGGTCACTGTTGTCAGTCTTAATGTATTCAAAGAACATGTTACAACGCACGTGCAGCCAAATTAAATTTACATGAAGAATCACAACTGACAATTAAATCCCACAACTGGAAACTCAATTTAAGTCACCTCTCAAAACCAGCTCGGTTAATGCAAGCTTAACATTGGTGCAGATAAGGTTTATCATCGATTTCTACAAGATGCGCGTGTCATTCAGTATGTTTCAGCACGTGCACCGGATGATGTTGCTTACATTGAAGAAAGACCACGTGCTCCCGGATTTTTGCGTGCCGTATTTGATCTCGGTCTGTTTAGCGAGGTCCTCGGCGGATGAGATGGGCGTACTCATCCTCATTGCTGTGAGATAGGCGGCCAGGTTGGCAGTGTAAGAAGAGATGACGATGAGTGTAAAGAACCACCACACACTGGTCACCATGCGTCCCGAGACAGACCTAAATAAAAAGATGAAACCATTAATATATTGCATACTTTAGTTCAGATGGAGATTGTAGTATCACCATGGGTCGAGGGACAGACCTGAATAAAACGATTAAGCCATGGAGATATTGCATAGTTTATTTCAGATGGAGATTATATTAGTCACCATGAATCCCGAGACTGACCTGAAGAAAAAAAAGAAACCATTAATATATTGCATACTTTAGTTCAGATGGAGATTGTAGTATCACCATGGATCCTGCAGAGACTGGCCTGAAAAAATATATAAAACCACTGAGATATTGCATACTTTAGTTCAGATTGAGAATCACAATGCGTCCCGAGACTGACCTGAAGAAAAAGATAAAACCATTGATATATTGCATACTTTAGTTCAGATGGAGATAAGTCACCATGTGTCCAGAGACTGGCCTGAAAAATATATAAAACCACTGAGATATTGCATACTTTAGTTCAGATGGAGAATCACAATGCGACCCGAGACTGACCTGAAGAAAAACCATTGAGCTATTGCATACTTTAGTTCAGGGCATTGGGAAACTGTGATGTAGAAATGGGTAACGTGTTATATAATTGAGAGGATGGGTCACCATGCGCCTGAAGATTTACATACAGGTGGTAAAATATAAACATATACTAACAACTCTCTACATTATGAGAGTGACATAATATTAATGTGGACAAATCGCAATTTCGAATAAGCCCATACATATATGCGAGAAAGTGTCAAATGGATCACCGTAAACATAGATAATGACCCGACTCTAAGACGTCACACAATTGAAGTATTCATTAAGATAACCACATCTTAGGTCATGATCAAAACGACGTGTCATCCTGCACACCGAGGCTGACAAAAAGCAGACACGCCAGACATGTGGTATTGTCCTGAATGTATCATTAATCTAAACTAAAACTATGCCACGTTGCTACCTTGCGTCAAGTACGTTTTAGTAACACGATGAATACCACGAAACAGAACCACATGAACTGAACTACATGTTAAAGAAGCCACTTGTATTTTAATATAAATGTATTTGTATCTTATACATTTAGGGTCGATAGGGTATACGTAACTTCAGAAACAGTTACAATGTTATATCTGGGAATAGAAACGTGATTTTAATAACAACCCAGAATATGTAGAGGGGGTCGTGGAAAATGATAAATGTAAAATTCTTTGGTATAGGCCCGTATACAGCCTAAGATCTATCTTGGCCAACAAACCCGATCTTGTCCGTTCTGATAAATCGAATGAAATCATTTATATAATTGAATTCTCTGTCCCTTTTGACACTAATGTGATTGACACGATTCAGAAAAAACATTGCAAACAAAATTTCGCTTACGAAATTGACCCGCTAAGATCCGGGGTGGAATAGGTCTTCAGCAACCAATGCCTGCCGTAAAAGGCGACTATGCTTGTCGTAAGAGGCGACTACCGGGATCGGGTGGTCAGGCTCGCTGACTTGGTTGATGCATGCCATCGTATCCTAATTGCGTAGATCGATGCTCATATTGTCAATCACTGGGTGTCTGGTCCATTCTCGATCATGTACAGACCGCCGTCATAAAGCTTACGAAATGTCACGCTTGCATCCAAAGAACCAAGTTATCCGACTCCCCACTGTTCTCGGTGCCTAAGCTTTGGTGCTACTAATCTGTTGACTGACATTGGGAGAGTTAGGCTTGCTTCCAGGAACATCGTCATTCTGACAATCTGGTAATGCAAAAAGCTGCAGTGTTGGGGAGTCTTCACATTCTCCGTAAAGTTCATAATCTCAATGTCAGTGTTGATTTTGTTGATGGTTCTGTACTGCTGGGCGGTACAGAAATGAGTGTCAACCAAGCGAAGTGGCATATCAAATCGGCCCAGAGAGGAGAGGCTATCTGAACGACCACTGCATCGAGTCTATGTGCAGTATGTTGAGGAGATCTGTCCTTCGCTTGCATGAGGTCGGCTGGCCTGAAAAGTGAATCAGAAGGCTTTCTGTTTGCTGCTCAGGACCAGTCACTTCCAACTCGAAACCGCCAATGTGTGAGTTTGCATCAAAATGTGAATATGAAATGTAGATTATGTAATGAATTTAATGAGACAGTCCAACACATTGTCAGTGGATGCCCAGCTTTGGCACAAACACAGTATCTTAAACGACATGATGGGTTTGCTCGATCATTTTATTACCGTCTTCGCCACGCTTGTGGTTTTGTCACAGAGGTCCATCCATGGTACGACCAAGAATATGTGGAGGGCGTCATGGAAAATGATAAATACAAAATCCTTTGGAATAGGCCCGTATACAGCCTCAGACGTATATAGGTCAACAAACCTGATGTTGTCCTTTTTGATAAATCCAATGAAATCATTTATATCATTGAATTTTCTGTCCTTTTTGACACAAATGTGAATGATAAGATCGAGGGAAAACATGGCAAGTATGCGGACCTCGCTTTCGAAATGTCACGCTTGCATCCTAAGTACCAAGTTATCTGACTCCCCATTGTCCTCGGTGCCTTAGGTTTGGTACCTCCCAATGTGTTGACTGACATTGGGAGAGTACCCGAGTTTGCTACCAAGAATACAGCCCTTCTGACAATCTGGGTAATGCAGAAGGCTGCAGTGTTGGGGAGTCTTCACATTCTCCGAAAAGTTCTTGGTGGGTTTGACTAGGCAGTGCTTCCTGGGAGAAGTCCTACTCGATGTCTGGGCTGCGTGTAGAGGGGGCAAGGGCCTATGATGATGAGCCTAACCAGTCTGACTGTGCCAGGATCACCCAAACCCTCTTTGCTACATTTTGTATTTTAATCTGTAAATAATAATAATAATAATAATGATAATAATAATTATACTAATAATAATATTGTGTTTATTGGTTTACTCAATTATATTCACAATAAAATGCACTTCTAGTCTCTAGCCTCGTATACTATTTCAAATCTTTACATCAGTATTTGTGGTTATTTCCGGATTTATAATTTAAACTGAAACATTTCTTAAGTACGGAATCACCATGAACGTACACATGTCTATAAGAACGATATCAGGAACCATCTAAACCATTTTTTGTCGACATTGTTATTGAGATTGAGCCGGACGATGTCTGTTTTAATCGACGTTGTCCATTCCATGAAACCAAACATTTGAGAACAACAGCGTTAAAGGTAGGAAAGGCCATGAAGCTTAATGAGAAAAAATACTTTTCTTTCACACGCACATAGGCAACGTTGTATGTATAATACGTATAAATGGACGGGCTGAAGATGCGGCAACGATTTCCCCATCGCCATGCTTCCAAATGGAGTCAGTGAGTTGGGCTTAACGCCGCAGTAGTCTACTTATGTCACAGCCTGTCAGCTTAATGTGCGAGGAAAGCCCGAAGCGATGCATGTCTCGTTTACCACTTTGGTGAATCCCACGAGCACGGGTATGGTGCTGACAAACCTAGGAATATTATCGGGGAGAACCAGGCTTTGAACCCATGATCATGGGTTTCTTGCAGAGCAAATTACAGCGCCTTACAGGCACACATATCTCCCTGGGGGCAATACGTACCCTAGTGGTAACTTTCATTATATAAACATGTTTTTGATATTGACGCAAGGGGGTTAAATACCCTTTTTCGAAATGTCGTACCCCGCTGGGGTAAAATACACCCTGGGACAAAGAAGTGAATGTAAACTAGGCTTCCAAATGGAACAGATATCAGAGATAGCAAAAAACGGAGTTTCACTTTTAGTATTACTCAGTTTAAAAGCGTGACTAAACAAATATATATCATACTTTATCTCTACCAGTGTTGCGTTAACTTAAAATAAATTGAGAAAATAATCGAGATGTGTAATAAGGATACACTAATCGGCTTCATCGGGCTTACAATCTCGTTGTTGTCGGTAAGGTAATTGTTATATATGTTGAAGTAAGAGGGGAAAATACCACAACCATCCCTTAATTCGTACAATTAGTGGATTACTATATTCCTATTTCAACTTTGATATTTGTACAACTGAATATTCATTCAATACAGATCAACGTAATTCCAAATTGCTCATGTTCTCTGAGGTTACGTTGTCACCGTTTCTCTTTTAATCTTTCAATGAAGCTGATGAAACGTAGAATGAAAGGTCCTGATCAATCTAGACTGATTCGTCTAAACGGAGGCGATCTCGCGTCAACTGTAGACAACGAAACCAGTCATGAATACAAATGTAATTAAGAAGATTACACGCAGTAATTTCCTCAACCCAGGATTATTTGAAATTGTTCAGCCCTTTCACCAGGGGAGTCTCATCCAATGAGTCAGGCCCGCCCCTGTTCGACTTCAACCCGCCCGAGCAGTTAACGCCCAAAAGGAGGCTGATCATGATGTATGTTCAAATATAGACTGAGAGCCAAATAGCAGTACCCTACCTTTCTCAACTGAACCTCAACTGCGTGGAGAAGATGGTTATTTAGAACCCTTGGGCAAACACAATTCGATTTTTTGCCTGCGTGTGCGCGAAGTCAGTTATTCAGAAGTCTGGCAAGGAGATAGGGGATGGTCTGCACAGAAGGTCATTGATAAGTACGTTCAACTGGGGAAAGAGACAGAACAACGGCTTTGTCGGATATCCTTTCAGAGAGGATGTCAGTATTGTTCACGTTGTGGATCCCATAGGAAGTAATGTCTATATACGAACGAGGCTGGCTTCACAGCAGATTGTGTTGGCAATGTCGCTATTATTCATCATATTTATCTGGGCATGTGTGCACGCATGTTGCTTAGTGCCCAAGTAGACAACTCAGCCATACATTCAACTGTGTTAATGCAAGAGGATAGCGAGGTAATGTTTCTCAAACAAACACAAAATGGATTTACACAACTCGTCCCTGTATTTTATTACTGTTGTGGGTGGCTCAAAAACTTTTGAAAGCTTCCATCTGCAGAGAGTATCAATATTAATGTAATTTGTGTTCTCGGCTGGCGATACCATAGATTAGCTTATTATGCCGTGG